AAAAAATACACTTGAATGAGCGTTTTTTTTTATACTTTTGGATTAAATACTTTAATACATGTATTTAGTATATCAAAATATATAGATTGTTTAAACAAGATGATATGGTCATTACGCACATGCATTCACATGCGCACACGTGCAATGCTAAAATTTGAATGAACTTGGCGTTGTTAAAGTCAAAAATGCATAGATTTTGTCCTATTTGATGAAGCTTACAGGGAATATGGCACCAAAAGGGAGTTGGGGAGCGTTTGGGGAACATCTGTAACGGTCCCCGTTACAATTAGCACTAGTTTTTAAAGATATTAAGGTTTTTATTTTCAGTGAGTCTCACTTGGTTGCACACAATAGCAAACCCTTAATGAATTGATATTCAATTATGTATATTCCTTTTCAGTCAAAATTATATACTCATTCAAATCATATTATTTCTTGAAATGGAGAAAAAAGCAACTTAACAAGAGAAAATTGTATAGCTCTTTCATTGTAAAATTACATGCATAACTAAAAAGAATGTAAATATTGTTGAAAACAGAAAGCATTCTGAGCAGCTTTATGTTATTCAGGTGAACGTCCAAGACTGAAGAAGGGAGCAGTGCCTTCCATTTTCCCTTTTGCCCTTTCATTAACAAATGATGAGAGTCCAAGGTGTCAGAGGAAAAGGAAACGAGAAGAAGCTTCAAATGAGCAACACGATTGTACGGAGGTTCTGAATACGATAGAAGTGGTCGATACCCCTGAGATTCAAACCTCTTTTACATCTGAGGCAATGGATGAAGGTATACCTGTGCAGGTGAATCAGGGAGTACAGTGTGAGCTGAAAACGTTTGGTAAATTTTCTGTTCAAAACTTTGAAAATGATCCCAAAATGATCAAGTATTACACTGGTTTTTGCGATTTTATGAAGTTCATGTTTTTTTTTCAATTGTCTTGGACCTTGTGTTTTTGAGCTTTTTCGACACACCACTCTTATGGATCCTAAAGATCAGCTTTTTATGGTTCTGATGAAGCTCCGACAGGCCAAAGAAGATATTGAGTTAGCTCTTTTTTTCGGCATTTCTGAGTCCTCCGTATCTCGTATCTTCAACACATGGTTAAATTTTATATATTTTCAACTTAAAGAATTAAGCATATGGCCATCAAGAGATGTGATTCAACAGTTCATGCCTTCTGATTTTGGAAAGAAATTTCCTAACACGCGAGTCATTCTTGATGCTACAGAACTTCCGATTAACAAGCCATCAAATGTGAATGCCAAGAGTATAACATGGTCTGCATACAAACATAAAATACATTGAAAACCATGATAGGTTGTACTCCAAGAGGTGCGGTAAGTTTCATATCCAAAGCATATGGAGGATCAGCAAGTGATCGACAGATAATTGAAAATTCTGACCTTCTGACTCCAGACCTGAAAATGTTTGAAAAGGGAAATAGTATTATGGCTGATCGTGGCATAATGGTGCAAGACCTGTTTGCTTCCCAAGACGTGTACGTTAACACCCCAACAATGTTGAAAGGGAAGTCACAACTGGATCCTGAGGAAGTTATCCGTGATAGACGAGTGGCATCAAAGCGAATTCACATCGAGCGTGTAATAGGGCTAAGCAAGGGCTTCAAATTATTGAGGCACCCTCTACCTCAAAGCAAATTGCACCTTGGTTCTAGAATTGTTTATGTTTGCTTTGCAATATCCAATTTCAGGAAATCAATTGTTGATAAAAATGCTTAATTCTGTGCAGTTTTCTATTTGACTGTCAAGCTTAAGTGAGTTGAAGAATAACAAAACAGTTGTTTTAGTGTCATCCTAAATTTAATTTAACATGGCATGTAAGAATACACTCATATACTTATTTATCAAAACTTTCTTTACTTATAAACACTCCTATGAATGTATTTGTAACCTTTCATCTTTCAGAGTTTAGCAGATTATCATACTACAGCAAATTAAATACTACATGTGTAATGTAAGAACCATTGGTATCTGTGGTGAAACTAACATGACTATAATTAGACTGTGGATCAGGTAAGTTTATCAACAAGAGGCCCATGGGCCACATTGCTCACTTGATCAAATCAGTATGTAAAAGTTTTCAGATATGAGGTCTCAATCTATTAAGGGGGAGGGGGCATGATTTGGACAATTATAAATTTACAATAAATAAGGATGCTTCAATAATATTTCTTCGACTATTAAAGGCTTTGAAAGATAATAAAAGATTATATCCCTATAAGTTTTATCTTAATTAATTAAAACAATAATAATTTAAATGCCAGGTGGTTCTTCAGAAGAGGTCGAGAATGTGAATAATTTACAGACTTACGGACAGACAGACGGATGCCAGACAAAATATCAGAAAAGCTCACACTGGGTTTTAAGCTCAGGCGAGCCAATAGAATTTACAATCATAGATTATATTACAATTTACCAGGTACTTCTATATTGAAAAGTTTATCATGATGTTATCAAAACATGTAATGATATTCTTATTGATGCATAATACTTCAAAGAGTAGAGGCAATAAAAGGTCTGAAAAACTTGGTGTAGAATGTTTCTAGCTTTGGAATGAGTGACCCAGTACAATATTCTTCATCATACTTGATTTTCTCAACAAACAAATCTTTGAAAGTGTATACAACAAAGTAACAAACTTTTTTTTGACATATGTGAAGTTTCCCTTGCACTTGATAATAGTAATTGCTTGTTCTTTTTAAGATGATTTCATTTGTTTCATTATACTCCAAAAATCTAAAATGCTTGCCTGGAAGAATCTTTTCATTTCTTCCTGAATATGGACATTTAATTTCAACAAGACAATCATCATACAATAAAGCATCAGGTGTAGCACCTAGAAAAGGTTTAGATGCACAAATGCAGAAACCAACAGATCTTGCTTTGCAGTCATATTTTAACTCAAATGACTTCAATGCCTTTGACTCGTAATTTTTACCGTGTGCCAAAGCACTGTTTTGTAGAGAGTTGTTTACAGACAACAGATTTTGACAAAGTTTGGTGATATTTCTTCTTGAAGTCAACTTGCAGAGTTCTCCAAATCTTGAAGCTGTAAGACGCCAGGATCTATGATGAAACCATAGTTTGCATGATGCTTGTTGTCTTGTTTCTTTTTCAATCTTTGTTATGTCTTCTTCAGTCACCTATTGATTTAAAAAAAAAAAGCATTACCAATAAATGGATTTTCGATGTACCTTGAAATTTATTTTTCCATCTATGCATATTTATTTCTTTTATCCAATTAAATTTCCATTTTAATATCTACTACACAATAAGTTAATGGAAAGATTTTAACAGAAAATCAAATTTTAAGCCACATTTTACATTGCATTCTTACTGATAAAGATAAAAGATATACATGTGTCACAGGTGGTGAAAAATCAAGTCTCAACCGGGACTCGAACCCAGGCCCTCTGGCGTACCGTGCCAGCTCTCTAACCACTGAGCTATTGAGACCCGATGTATTGACTGACTTTCACGCACCTGTGAACCCGGTGACACTTTTAATTAGTGTGTTTACAAACCTTGTTTGCTTCATCCACCCAGTACTCTGTAATAGGTATACTAGTATAATGATGATCAACAGCAGCAACCTGAAATAAAAAAAACAAAAACATGTATATGGGTTATAGAATAAATCTGATTTTATGAGGTGAATACTTGAGAAGATGAATAAATTTTAGAGGTTTATGTGTGTAAATACATTGCAGTATAAAAATAATGCAATATAAAATGGCACCTGTATATCGGCCTTTTTAAAGAGATATCTGAGTGCAATATCTTGTGACGTCATAGAGCAGTAATTGATAAGCTGACTCCAAACATAATCTTGGTAACCTGGCATTTTTCTGAATTTTGCTGGCCGTTGATCCTCCAAAGATTCGTCAGACAGTTTTCTCTTTGATGGAATACTTTCTGCCTCCACTGGGACACCTAATTTTAAAAATCACCATTTCGAAATATAACTTACATGCATTTCCACTTCATTAACTATACTCGCTACAAAAGCTTACTAATAAGAACATGTCAAAATTATTTTTGAATTTGATATAATGTATTGTTGAATTTCTTGCAACTAATTTTATTTCTTAACACAAATTTTGGAATTCATTTTAATGAAATTTTGAAAATGTTCATTTTTTTTTTGGCCAATTGCTCTTACCATGGTAAGTTGCCTTTGGTTTGTGGAAAAGCTGCAGATTTTCAGTACAACTTTTACCAACAGCAACATTCCCTGTCTCTGTAAAATGCTGCAGCATGAGCATGACAGCAGCTAGGTGCTTACAGGTCCCATGGGGTCCTTTTCCTGCTGGACACTCGCAGTCACTATTTATGGCGTCTCCTGTCCTTTTGTCCATTTTCAGTTTATAGTTATAAGAAACCTAAATGTAATATAACATTTTAATCTTAAGATTACAGAATATACAATTGCTTAATTATTTCACTTTGTATACATTCATAAACTCAATTTTTGCATATTGTCACAACTAGACTTCAATATTAGTTTCCTAAAGATACCTTATTTTTCATCGCAGCACCAACAATCCCCGTAAAGTAGATGTCATTTTCTTTCACAACAACAGAGCATGCCTGCACTCTATTCCCTTGGAACATTGCAGAACCCTTGGACACTGCCTTAATGTCTTTCGTAAACTGCTTATCACCTGGAAGTTTTTTATAAATAAAAAAATATATATGGGTACTTATACATGGTTTAACAGTTTTTAAATGAAAAAAACTATATTTATAATAAGTTTTCAATCATAATACCTAATTAATAGGTATGTCGTTAATTAGATTGCAATAACTGATTACAATGCACTCTTTAAAACTTTAAATCTTTATAGTTTTGAATCTGAAGTAGTATTATATCATACATACCTGCTATTCTGTAAACAAAATACTGGTTTATCTGCTCCGTAGTTATTTTCGGCAGGAAAACTTTATGTTCTTTCTGGAGCTGTTGGTAGCCAGACACTGGCCAGCCCACAGATACAGGGGTAGGGACACTTTCTAGAGGAGGGGGTTGAAAATCTCTGTTTCTGTCATATGCTTTCAATCTACAAAATTTTAGATAAATCGAACACTTTAACCTCTATTTTCGATTTTCATTAATTTCAAGAATAAGAGCAGTTTCAACAAAGTTAGGTACTAAACAGGTGTACAGTTCAGTAATGACCCATATTTAAAATACGGTACAATAATTATTGAAAACAACATAGTCTATTTGTAATTTTCTTGTGCATAACGAGGCCAGCACCTATGGAGATGGCAATAAGAGAATTTGTGTTTATTTTTCTAGAAGAAAATGCTCATTTTTTACTACCTCAATTCATTAATTTACGGTGGAATACTAAACGCATTGCGAGTAAGGAGTAAACTATGTTGTTTTGTATGCCTTAACTTCAGCATTATCAATGATATCGATGTCAGAAAAATTGCTTTTATGAAATATATAATACCTTTCAATAAGTTCTGTTTTTCTCCCGCCAACACTTGCACCTTTTGTTGCCAATTCAGCCCTCAATTTAGGAACGCTCCATGTCAAATATGACCGCGACGCCATACTTAGCTCCAGCGCATAACCGATAATACACGAGCGCCACCTAACGTGTAATGACGTGAATGCTTACTATTACATCATATTCTGAAAAAGTCTACAAAATCGGCCAATTTTTAAAGCTATTTTTCGATATTTAATATGTTTTACGGTTTGACCTTTGGGGCGAGCGCAGTTATTTTCTTTTATAAACCTACACATGTACTGCCAATCATTCAAGAAAAAGAAAAATAAAAGAAGAAAACAAAGCAATAAAAAAAAATAATCACTTCCTAAGCATCGGGATCGAGATTCCGAACTTTTCGGAAGTTTCCGACAAAATCGGAAATACCCGAAACGTTAAAGTGACGAAAGCATGACGTCATATAAAAAAAATCTGTTGACTTAGGACGCAAACGATAGTTTTATGGCATGGAGATTGCATTAAATCGTTGTTTGTATTTTTTTAAAGTAAGTTGTTGCTACGTTTTAGCCACCATAATGCTATGCTCCGCAAAGGATTATTGGGAATTTGGAATTTTTTCACGTGGACTCATAAAAATTTCTCGGAACAATGTGCAGATTTCAACCTGAATTTCCTCTGTTCGTACACGCTAGTCTATTGAGCTCGCTACGCGAGCGGCGCTTCGCGCCGCCTCGCTAATTGCGCAACCTCTGATCTAAAGTATGCAACTAGTAAATGATAGAATTGTTTCTGGGGATTAAAAGACATGTTTTATTTTTTAGATCAGAGAGTGCGCTAATATTATTTTTCTTCACTGAAGTGAAAGTACTCAATTTATACCTGTTTACCTAAAAATTCAAGGACATTGCAATTTCATAAAGCCAGTTCTCCGAGACCTGGACCTTAAGGAGAAAATTTTTAAAAGGATATGAAAACATGAAGTCTCTATTTTATTTTAATGCTTCAAATGAATAATCAAGTGTTAATCAATCAATTGGTATATCTACAGGGCCATTTTATCCATAGAGTGAACCGACTTCTTTTTCTGTTCTGAAGAAGATTTATCCTAAATATTCTTATGCTAAACTTTGATCCCTCATTGTGGCCACACCCCAACCCCGGGGGTCATAATTTGCACAAACCTGAATCTAAACCACCTGAGGACCATGCTTCCATAAGTTCCATATAAAAAATTACTAATCATTGGTGTTCTCCAGAATTTTTAAAAAGATATTTTAATATTTATTCCTATGTTAAAATTGATCCCACATTGTATCCCCACCCTATCCCCAAGAATTCTGATTTGAACAATTTTGAAACTGCACTACCTGAGGATGCTTCCATACAGATATTACTAATCATGGCTTTGCTGTTCTTGAGAAGAAGATTTTTAAAGATTTTTCGTATATATTTCTATGTTTAAAAGATTTGATTGCCCATTTTGGCTCCACCCTAGTGACCCTACCCCTAAGGGTCATGATATATGAACAAACTTGCATTAACTTTGAGGATGTTTCCATATTAATATCACCAATCATGACATTGTTGATCTTGAGGAGAGAATTTTTAAAAAGATTTTTTTCAATATATTCCTATTGTTATGGGTCAGAATAACCCTAAATGCCAGCAAAGACCAATAACACAATTTAAACTTAACAATAATTTATTTACAGTAATATATAATAAGTATATGAAGCATAAAGTACAAACTTAGCAAGAATCTAAAAATACATACATCAGAGTGTCCGTTGCTGCACACAATGTCCCAGTGAAAATATATCCCATTTATATCTCAATAGTGCTTATACGACAAAGTATATTATTATGCATCGAATTGACAGGGTATTTATACAGTAATATAAATCTAGAATATTCTAGAAATTGTTAAAACATGATATTACTGGAACAATCTGGACATACACAAAATTTAAGAATGTTCTAGATAAAATGACCAAACATGTTGACCACTCTGGAATGTTCAAGAAACTTAATGTTACTAATTATATACATAATGAAACAATACACATCTCACAACACCTCCCCCCTTAAAAAGTTTGAATGTCAATGAAAAACTTAAATTGTAAAACATGTACATTAATACAAAATCTAGTATGTTTACGATACTCTTGACAAGGCGTCTGCAATAACATTGTCTTTGCCTTTGATATGCTTAATTGTTATGTTGTATTCTTGTAACAACAAACTCCATCTAGTCAGTCTTTGATTCTTGTTTGACAATTTATGCAAAAATGTCAGGGGGTTGTGATCAGTATACACAAGAATTGGATGCAAAGTAACATTCAAATAAACATCAAAATGCTGTAAAGCTAACAACAAAGCAAGGCATTCCTTTTCAATGGTGGAATACTTTTGTTGACATTTTGTAAGTTTCTTTGAAAAATAAGAAACAACTCTATCTACCTTATCACTATGTTCTTGAAACAAAGCTGCCCCGATTCCAACATCACTAACATCAACAGTAAGCTTAAATTGCTTAGAAAAATCTGGAGTTGACAGAACTGGGTTGCTCATAAGGACAGATTTGATTTTATGAAAGGATTTTTCACAGTCCTTTGTCCATTCAAAGTTAACCCTCTTTTGTAAAAGATTTGTAAGTGGACTAACAACTGAGGAAAAATTTGTACAAAATTTTCTGTAAAACCCAGCCATGCCCAAAAACCTCATTAATTCTTTCTTGTTTGTAGGAATCGGGAACTTTGCAATAGCTTCCACTTTAGCCATAATGGGTGTAACATAACCTTGACCTACTTTATGACCTAAATACTCTACATAAGCATGACAAAATTCGCTCTTCTCAAGGTTCACAGTTAAGTTTGCTTTAGCTAAAATGTCAAATAAAGCACGCATGATACGGAGATGTTCGTCCCATGTGTCGCTGTATATGACGACATCATCAATGTAGGCCTCGCATCCCTCAAGGTCTTGAAGAAGGGAGTGAATCATCCTTTGGAATGTAGCTGGTTTTTCATGCCAAAAGGCATTACTTTATACTGGTAAAGTCCGTCTGGTGTAGCAAAAGCAGATATTTCTTTTGCTCTTTCTGTTAACGGTACTTGCCAGTAGCCTTTCAACAGGTCAAATTTACTGACAAATTTCGCGTTTCCAATGTTGTCAATACAGTCATCGATTCTAGGTATTGGATATGAATCAGTTTTGGTAACAGAATTCACCTTTCTAAAGTCTGTACATAATCGGTACGAACCGTCCTGTTTTGGTACAAGAATACACGGTGAGCTCCAATCACTTTTACTAGGTTCAACAATGTCATTGTCCAACATGTACTGCACTTCCCTTCTTAGGTACTGCAATTTTATTGGATTCATACGGTACGGATGTTGTTTGATAGGCAGAACGTCACTCACTATGACATCATGACAAGCTGCATTAGTTTTCTTTGGAACATCCGAGAAGATTTGATGATACTCATTCATCAAGTTTTTAACTTGTTCTTTTTGGTGAATGTTCAAATGTCCAAGTTTGGCATCAAAGTCAGCCAAAATTTCTGAGTTTTTCAAGCGGACACTCTGATTACAATCTTTCTCATTCATTTCTACACTCGTATCACTTTCAATACAATTTTGAACAGTCTTAGCATTGGCTAAAGTGGAAACTGGTTTTACAGAATTTCAGTCACACCTTTCAAAATACTCTTTTAACATGTTAATGTGACAAACCCGTTTCTCTTTACGTCGACCTGGTGTCTTAACTACATAGTTTACATCACTGATCTTGCTTTCAATTTCATAAGGGCCATAAAATCTGGCCTGTAAAGGATGACCAGGGATAGGTAAAAATACAAGAACCTTATCACCTGGCTTAAACACCCTATTTCTAGCATCTTTGTCATACCACATTTTCATTTTCAACTGAGAACTCTTCAAATTTTCTTGTGCTAATTTACAAGCATTGTAAAGTTTTTCTTTGAAATCAGACACATAATCTAAAAGATTAAGATCACTAGTCTCAGTCAGCCACTTTTCCTTCAACAATTTCAAAGGACCTCTAACTGTATGTCGGAACACCAATTCAAAAGGACTGAACCCAAGAGACTCCTGGACTGCTTCTCGTGCAGCAAATAGCACAAGATGAACCCCTTCATCCCATTCTTTTTCATACTGGTAACAATAGGTCTTCAGCATTGTTTTTACGTTCTAGCGCTCCCTGGGACTCAGGATGATAAGCAGTTGATCTATACTGCCTAATACCCAACTCATGCATGACTTGCTGGAACAACCCCGACATAAAATTTGAGCCTTGATCCGACTGAATTGCCTTGGGTGCTCCTACAAAACTGAAAAACTTGGTTAGGGCCTTAACTATGCTCTTTGCCTTTATATTCCTTAGAGGTATGGCTTCAGGAAATCGAGTGGATGTACACATAATGGTAAGTAAATACTGGTTTCCAGATCTGGTCCTAGGCAAAGGTCCTACACAATCCACCAACACTCGACTAAACGGTTCTTCAAAAGCTGGAATGGGTTGGAGAGGAGCAGATGGTATCTTCTGATTTGGTTTACCTACCATCTGACAGACATGGCATGACTTGCAAAACTTCGAAACATCCTTTCTTAGCTTAGGCCAATAAAAATGACTCAAAATCCTATTATAAGTCTTATTGATACCTAAATGACCAGCCATAGGTGTATCGTGAGCTAAACTCATGACATCTCGACGATAAGCAGCTGGGACCACTATTTGGTGAACAACACGCCACACTTCATCTGGAGAAGCATCAGGTGGTCGCCATTTTCGCATAAGGATGCCATCTTTCATATAGAAGCATTCTCCAACTTTAGTAGCCTCTTCTGGTGGAAGTGCCCTCTTACTAAGTTGAATGATATCTGGGTCTTTATGTTGTGCTGAAAGTAACTGCTCTTGGCTTAGGATATCCTTGTCTTGGCTTTCTGGTAGATTTGATTCATCTTCATCACCACTAAATTTTGATAAAGGTTCATTCGTCACCGACTTCTTGATATTGTGTGGTTCCATGATTGTTTGAGTGCCATCAAGGTCAGATAAGAAAGTGTCATTCAAATCAATATCAGTAGAGGATTTCGTCTCGTCAA